GTTATCTTTGACTGTGTGCTGGGCACTGCTCTGAACAATTCATTCTGGGGTAATTCTTAGAGACTGGGGGTAAAGATGTCCTCTTCCAGATAGGCATGTCATTCTTTCTGCTAGTCTCCTGGAGCTCCAGCATGTGAATCTAGAACTCCAGACCAAAGGCAGTATCTGGGGTTTCCCGGCCCAGGCTACGATGGATGTCCACAATGCAAATCCACATGAGGGCCTTTCTGGGCCCACAACTGGCCAGGAACTACAGTTTTGCCCCTTTCCCTCTCCAATCTTCTCAGTGCCAAGGCTGCCTTCTCCACACTTCTCAAGGGCACCTTACTTCCAGCTCACTTTTACCCTAAGGGTGCTCTCTGGGGACCCACCTCAATGGGGGAAGGGTCCCCTGTTCCATTTTTCAGCTGGTGTGGGCCCAGGGCGGTAACTTCTACCCCAACTGTCTGTCTCTCTCAGGCTACAGAAGTCCCTGACCCTTGCCTGCAAACGGGCTTTATCAGGAAAATAATCAAACCACCAGAAAGTACCTAAGAGTTTAAGGACTGAAGGGCACCTGGTGGCTTGGTCCAGGTGTCCAACTCTTGATTTTGGCTCAGGCTGTGATCTCAGGGTCATGAGATCAAGCCCTCTGTCGGGTCCCACGTTTGACTCCATGCTCAACGTGGGGTCTGCTTGGGATTTTCTCTTTCCCTCTCCCTCTGCCCCTCCCTCAGCTCACACATGCGCTCTCTCTTTCTATAAAATAAATAAGTAAATCTCTAAAAAAGAGAGAACTTAAGCACTGGAAACAAAACAAAAGGACGTGTTAATACAGTGTTTCTGTAAAGAAAAAAAATTAAACACTGAATTACCATTTGATTCGGCAACCTGACTTCTGTGTACACATGCAAAAAGCAGGGACTTGAATCGACGCTTGTACACCTACGTTCAGACTGGCATCATTCACCCAATAGCCAGAAAGTCCACTGACAGATGGATAAACAAAATGTAGTATATATATGCACTGGAATACTACTTAAGCCTCAAAAAGTAAGGGATTCATGTCACACACTACAGGATGGAGGAATACTGAAGACATTCAAATACTGTGTGAACTTACTCATAGGAGGTACCTGGTGTTGTCAAAGTCACAGGGAGGGAAAGCAGAGTGGTGGCTGAGAGGGGCCAGCTGGAGAAGGAGTAGTAGTCATTGCTTCATGGGGTCAGAGCTTCCCTCATGAAGATGGAAGGTTCTGGAGACGGGTGGCGATGACGGCCCCCCAAGAGCAGGAATGCACTCTATGCCACTGAACTGTGCATTTAAGACAGTTACGATGGCAAATTTTAGATGTATTTTCTATTATGGATCTTTTACCATAATAATTTTTTTTAGTTAGGTTAATAGGGGCGCCTGGGTGCCTCAGTCAGTTAAGCACCTGACTTCAGCTCAGGTCATGATCCCAGGGTCCTGAGATCAAGTCCTGAGTCGGGCTCCCTGCTCCTCCCTCTATCCCCTGCCCCCAGTCCTGGCTCAGGCTCTCCTTCTCTCAAATAAATAAATATAAAATCTTTACCAAAAAAAGAAAAAAAAGTTAGTCAATTTTGGCAAGGGCTGATGAACCCACTCAGTAGATTCCACAGGGCAAAATAACTTCATGGGGTTCATACTGATCAGCGGGAGACTTATTTAGATGGTAATGGCAGGGTGTCATGAAACCAGTGTGACCTCTCTTAGAGCTTGGGAGGCCACACAATGAACCTTTATCAACATGCAAAAACTGGCGCCGCTTGCCAACAAACAAATATATATATATATATATATATAAATATATATATATATATATATATATATATATATATAAAATAACAACAGATTTCCCTATAAAAATATAAATGCAATACAGTTTCCTTTAAAGGTATCAGGCATCAGAAATGTTAAAAGGTTAGTTGTCAGGGTGTGGACCTACAGTACCAGTGGTATGGCTAAGTAAGTATTAGGGAAACAAATTGATGGATAAGAGGAAAGAATTCTCTTTAAAGTATTTCCAGTGAAAGAAGGAAGAGAGTCTATCTATTTCACACTGCCGTGTCTCCCTTCTGAGTCCCTACATACACGGTTGACCCTTGTACAACATGGTTTCAACTGCGCGGGCCCACTTACATTCAGACTTTTGTCAATAAACACGGTATGGTACTGTAAATGTAATTTCTCTTTGTTATGATTTTAACATGTCCTCTTCTCTAGCTTCCTTTATTGGAAGAAATCAGTATATAACATATACTATTACTATATTAAGCAATATTAATCAATTATTATTGTTAATCAATAATTTTATATATTAATTATATCATACAATTATATTACATAATATATACTATAATTTTAAGACATATGGATATATGTATAATTACATATTATATGTCTATAATATAATACAGTATATATAACATACAAACATGTGTTAACTGACAGTTTATGTTATGGGCAAGGCTTCTAGTCAATAGTAGTCTGTTAATAGTTAAGTTTTGGGGGAGTCAAAACTTAGATGCGGATTTTCGCCTGCACTGGGGGCGCTGGGGGTCAGGACCCCTGACGTCTGCACTGTTCAAGGGCCAACTGTAATTCTGTTACAGATTATAGATACCTAAATATAAATGGTGCAGAAGATAAATTTATAGTTAACTTACTTTGAGAGACCCGGTTTTAAAAACAAGCATTTTAGTAATTATGGGAGCCTCTCCATTTCTTCTACTAAAAAAAAAAAAGAGCTCAAGTCAGAAGATTTTATGCACCTTTCCGGGTATAAACACCAACACTAAGCAATACCATAAAATAAAAAACTGGCAACAGAAGTAACATTCCTCGTTGGGACTTCATGAGTAACAGGTGCTGAGGGCCACTGCTTTGCAAATACAAAAAGCTTCCCGACATATCTACAAATATGTTCATTCCAAAATAATAACGACATGACTGCCGTGCACATAGCAAACACTCCGAGAAAGTTGTCACTGAATCGGGAAGCCTCTTCCTATTTTATTTATTTTTAAGAGATTTTATTTATTAATTTAGAGAGCACGCAAGCAGAGGGAGGGGGAGAGGGAGAGGGAGAGGGAGAATCTCAAGCAGGCTGTGCTGAGTGCGGAGCCCCATGCCAGGCTCAATCCCACGACCCTGCGATCACAACCTGAGCCCAAATCAAGAGTCGGTCGCTTAACTGACTACGCCAGCCAGGCGCCCCAGACTATTCCTAGGTTAGACACGTGAGAGGATAGCTAATCCTTGCTCATGGCTTACTGTGTGCCACACACTCTACCTGTGTCTTTATCGATATTAACTCCTTTCTCCCTTACGACAATGCTCTCAGGGCTGTACCATTAGCATTCCCATTTCAAAGACAGGAAAACTGAGGCAAAGGGGAGTCTGGGCATCCCCAAGGTCACCAGCTGGTGACTGGCAGAGCTGGGATACAGGGCCAGGTTCTAGAGCCCCCACTTCTCAGCCCCCCACCTGCAGGGCCTCCCCACATAAATACGGAAAGTCAGGGAGGGTGGCCAGCACGAGACACCTCACATGCTCCATACAGTTTAACTTTGATAACCAGGTTTTTAAGAGTCAATAAGGTTAAGTTTCTATAGAGATCAAAGACAGTAACAGAAGAGATCTGTTTCCAAACGATCTAGTGCAGAGCCAAAGTCTCTCTGGGCAGAAGCTACATGAGAAGGTTGGTAAGGCAAGAAAGCAAGGAGGTGTGGCTTTCGACAGGAAGCGGAGAGAAGCACACGCCCACGGGGAAAGAAGCACAGAGTGGCTGGCATCTGGTGGATGAGAACCCCGGGGCCGGGGAGCACAGACAGGTGATAACAGGGGAGCAGGGGGCCCCTCAGAGTCCCCCTCCCTGAGGTTTCAGAGTCCACGGCTGCCCATCCTCAGTCACCCTGTTGTTCTAGACCTTGGTCAGCCAGCACATCAGGTAAAAAAGGTAATGCCTCTTGGGCCGTACATCTTGGGTCTCCCCCGCACAGAGGTTCTCGTTCTAAAACTGGACAGGTCAGAGGGATCTGTCATAGTTTTCATACCGAAAGGACTAAGAGGCACTGGGGTTTGGAGTGCTATCATCCTTCTGCTTGTAATAAATGTATTGGCTTGTGCACCTTTGTGAGACACAGCACGGAGGAACCATCACTGTGGTCACTCCTACTGTCACTACCATTTATCAACACTGGCCTCGGGCAGCGCGCTGCACATAGGCAGTGGATAATTCAAACCACATGGAACACAGCCCTCCTTCATCAGAAGCTCTGGGGCAAAGCCAGAGCATCAGTATTGCTAGAATCCCTTGTCTTGGCTCGTGTGCCCCCATTTTATGTACAAGGTACTAAACAGTAAAGCGACTGCCAAAGATAACAACACTACATGTAGGATCTGAACTCAACGGACTTCAGAACCTGGCCTCTTAACTGCTCAGTGGTCCAAGCTCCAACAATTAAGGTTGTGACAAAAAAAGGGCATTAAGTGAGCAAGATGGCCTTCAATAGCCACGAGAATGTACCAGCACCAACCTGTATATTGTCACACAAATTCCCAAACAGGTACTCTCTGTAAGCATACAGAGAGGTTTCCTATCTTAAATTTAAAAAATTAACAATGCATTGTACTTCTCCCACATTTGTAGCAAGTCGCTTCACTTTTCCTTATTTTATTCTTTTTTAAAGTAAGCTCCACACCCAGCGTGGAGCCCAAGGCAGGGCTTGAACTCAGGACCCCGAGGGCAAGACCTGAGCTGAGACCAAGGGTCAGACATTTCACTGACTGAGCCACCCAGGCACCCTTACAACTCACTTCACTTTAGCAAGATTTGGGTCTCTCTGAGCAATTTCAATACTTCATCAAATGGGACTGTCTGCGTTAGAAGCGGAACCAAACCCCTGCAATAATGAAACAAATGTGGGAAACCGGAAGCAGAGCAGATGGGTGAGTGGCGAGAGAGGCAAAACCATAAGGGCAGCTTATCCTTTACCGCAAGATGCTGATTTTCTGTCCACCATAGTCACGCGCCTGGTCTCAGTGCGGAGCTTCCCGTCTGTGTTCTCCACCAGGTTGGCAAGGTCATCAATTATTTCTAGAAAGGAAGACAGAGATGGTGGTTAATACTCCAGAAACATCCCGCTCACATCACTGTATCAGAGCTGTGGCTGGCTTTCCTACTAATAAATTCTCTCCTGTGCAACGAGGGAAAAGGTAAAGAGCTCATCTATGTTCTCTGAAATCTGCAAATCCAACTCATAAAAGGTGGTGGTGGTGGTGGTGGTGGTGTGGGGGGAGTAGTAGTAAAGAAGAAAACCGATTTCCCGTGAGTCCACGACATAGAGGAGGACTGTCGGGAGTCCAAGGGAAAGAAAGCAGGACGCAGTGAAGTTATGCTCAGCCGAGTTGTCATTCCAGCATAAAGCTGGTGGACAGACTACGGGAGACTGCAAGGACTACTGGAGTCCTTCTCGAGAAAACGGCTTGATGATGAATTCCAGCCAACTGAGAGGCTAGTAGAAGTAAAGAACTCTAGGATAAGACAAGCCAGAGCCCATGACGGAAGAGATGCCGGGGAGAGCTGGAGCCGTCGAAATACTGAGTTGGGGATCAATAGATACACGGATTACATTGCAAAAAGGTAGATAAGTGTTGTGAACAGCGATGCTATAATTACAACTGAAAGTCAGGAAGCAGTTGGGGGGTTGGAGGGTTCGGGGTCGGGGGGAGAAAGGTGGAAGGAAGTTGGAGGTGTTAATTTCTCCATCACTTCACAGAGAAGTCCTAGTTGAAAAGGGAGCTGTTGAAAAGGGAAACATGGAGACCCAAGGCCTTTCAAAACCACCATCTTTTTTTTTGTCAACCTTAGATGGATCTTTTAGTAATTACTATCTCTTGTCAAGAACCCTCTATGTGAAGTTCAGCTTCTATTTTTTTTTACACTAATCTATTCTTTTAAAATTGGAAGTATCGTTGACACTATGCTAATCTCCTCCAAGTGAAATTAAGCACTTAGCAACACTTAAAATAGTATATATTGTATGATCCTAATGATGTAAAATTATTTCTAGCCCCCTGCTCATATTGGACAAACTTACAAGGATATATCTGGCTGATGTCAACCTAATGTGAATAATGATTATTTCTAGGTGCTGGGATCCTGGGTGAGCTTCCTTACATTTTCCGTATTGTTTGAATTTCTTCTAACGAGTCCGCATTATTATTTCCATTTTGGTTCCCATTCTTCACTCCTTCCCTCCCTTGCTCCTTTTTTTTTTTTTCCCTTTCTGATTGCTTTAGAGATACGCTGTCCAATATGAGTCACTGTTTCTGTTAAATAAATAAAAGGAATCAAAGGAAGTTTCCAGAAGGATGCCAGAGCTGAGTTTTGAAGGACGTGTCGGTGAAGAGGCAGGAAGGGGACAGTCTATATGGAAAGAACAGCATGTGGAAGGCACAGAAGAGCTAGCTGCTCTCTCTCCTGGGCTCCCCCAGCCCTTCCTACAGCCTCTGTTTACTTACAGACCCTTAAGGTTCACATTCTAACAACTTGCTCGTATGTCCTTCTTTAGTGGGAAGAGTATGACAGATAATTGCCTTCATTCATGGCTCTCCCTGTGATGCCCAGGAGAGTGCCTAGTACACAGCCAGATAAAACAAATGCACACAGACAAAGGCAGTGGATGGATGAAGTCTAAAAGAGACACATAATTTCAAAGCACTTCGCTGCGTCTTAGCCTACGTCAAATCTGTCAAATATTACCTATAGAACACCTGCCTAGAAAACCTTTCACTGCCATTTGACAATTAACTCGTGACTCTCTATTCCTTCATATTCAGTGACATTCTCTCCCAGTCTTCCTTCCATCTGTCTCCAAGATCTGTCTAGAGTCTCCTCTTCCCCTTAAATGCTGACAATCCCACACTTCTGTATATTTTTACTCTCTAATACCACCACGGTGATTTTACATACCTTTTGGGTTCCTCAATATGTAAATTAAAAATCTGAAAATCTGCTCCACATAGCGCTCCAAAATTCTGGACCCAGGTAGCAAACTACCTACTACTTATCTGTGCCTCGAGATGCCTACAAATATAAGGCTCTCGAGGTCTCTGAAACGAAACTCTTTATCTTCCCCTGAACCTGAGTCCCCTCCTACATTCTCTGTCCCAATTAATGGCACCGACACTCACTTGCTGGCCCACGCCAGAAATCTTCAGTCACCAGGTCTCCCCCTTTCCCAGCTTGGACAAGCCACTTGGAGCCACTCAGGTGACCCTGCCTCCAGGACTTCTTGATCCCACAGTGTCTCTTAAACTCTCTTACTAATACCTCACAAAATTGTGCCAGTGATTCCAAAAACAATATCCTAACTCATCTTCCTGTTTGTAGCTCTGTATCTCCTCAGTCTATTCCCCATACTATAGCCAGGGATGTGTTTTATTTTATTTTCAGGTTTTTACTTAAATTCCAGTTAAAAACAGTGTAATATTAGCATCAGGTATACAATTTAGTGATTCATCACTTTCATACAACACCTGGTGCTCATCACAATAGTGCCCTCCTTAAGCTAGGAACATATTTTAATTTTTTCATATTTTAACTAATTGAAACTTAAATAGCTGTGTGTGGGCGGTGACTACTGTCTTGAGCAACAGAGATCTAAAGCAATTACTTAAAAAAAAAAAAAGAAAAAAGAAAACCACCCCCCCAAAGGTATAGATTTAAAAACAACAACAACAAAAAAACAGAGGGAATAAAACTAAATACTAAAAAAATGCATGATTTACCCAGAAGGCGGCAGGAAAGAAGGCACAAAGGAACAACAACAACAACAACAACAACAACAAACAGGAAAAAAGGAACATAAATACCTAGAAGGCAGACCTAAACCCAACTATATCAACAGTCACATTAAATATAAATGGACTAACTCCCTAATTAAAAGACAAAGACTATCAGCCAAGACTAAGAAAGACAGAAAGGAAGAAAGAACAACTATATGCTTCCACAAAAAATTCACTTTGAACATAAGCCACAGAAAGCGTGTGCATGAGAAGGCCGACATGGCTACATTCTGCTACACCAGACAGACTTGAAGCCAAGGAGTATTACTGGAGATGAAAAGAAACTTTTTTCATGGTGAAAGAGCACATGTGACGAAAACCAAGAAAAATCTCCACACTGGAATATTAAGGAAACCACCTCTGAAAAAACCTACGGGACAAAAAAAAAAATCATAGGAAAAACAGAAAACGCTTTGAACTGAATGATAATGAGAATCCAAAATTTAAGTCTATGGGATGCAACTAAACCAGAGCTTGGACAGAAATGTACTGTTCTAAATGCAAACACTGGAAAAGGAGAAATACATAAAACTGATGATCGGACTAAGAGATGCTCATGATCATTTCAATAACTGCAGAAAAAGGATTTGACAAAACTGAATGCCTATTCGTGATACGAATTCTCAGCAAAACAGGACTGAAGGAGCACTTCATCAACCTGATGAAGGACATCTGTGAAAACACCAAACTACCACTGTCCTTGAAGGTGATCACTGAACACTTTTTCTCTAAAATTGGGGAACAACATGAAGACATGAAGACATCTTCTCCGATGACTTTTGCTGAGCATTTTATTAGAAGTTCCACACTGTTTAAGGAGGCAAGAAAAGAAAGGTAAAAAGACTGGAAGAGAAGATATAAATACATACATTTGCAGTTGGTAGGAGAAAACTGGATTTATTTAAAAACTACTAGAACTAATTAGTGACTTTAACAAATCTGCACACAAAGTCGATCATAAAGAGCGATGTATTTCTATATACTAGTGACAAGCAACCGAAAAGTCAGAGTAAAAAACTACCATTTATAGTAGCATCAAAAAGTATATCAAATGCTCCTGTGAGTGTAGGCGGTGAGTTAGGTTCTAACGGACTACCTGGAGGTAGGTCATGGTCAGCTATCAGGAAGGTGAGAGGCCTGTCCTGGCAGCACTCCACAAGAAGTCAGATCAAACCGGCCAGGTCCAAGATGGCAGCTGCCATGACAGGAAACCACCAACCAAATTAGGAAGAAAAGGCATAAACCCCTGCATTCCTGCCTGGAGAGATGAATATTCCATCCCCTAGTTAACAACCATCAACCATCAATAAAAGATAGAAACCAACCCTCAGGGCTCACCTGCTCTCACATCTCAAGAGTGTATTTCTCACTTTAACAAGGTTTCCGGCTTGGTTGCATCTGTCCTTGAATTATTCCTCCTAACAAGACCAAGAACCATCGACAATACCTTTGGGATGGGCGGGGTTGAGACCCCAGGGGCTGGGGTCTCCCTAGTCCACCCAGTGACACTTGGAAATAAATCTAACCAAAGACGGGCAAGACTGAAAACTGTAACAGTGCTGGGACAAATTCAAGAAGACCTAAAGAAATGGACAGTTGTCTACCATGTGCATGGATTGACAGACTCAGTGTTTTAAGGATACTTTCTCTCTCAATTGATCTATAGATTCACTGCAGTCCCAATCAAAATTTTAGCAGGTTTTTCACTCATATTTAGAATTTAAGAAACAAAATAAAGGAACAAAGAAAAAAAAATAAGAGAGACAAGCCACAAAACAGATTCTTAACTATATAGACCAAACTGATGATTATCAGAGGGGTAGGGGAGTGTGGAGGGGGGAGATGGAGAAGGAGGGGTGAAACAGGTGTTGGGGATGAAGGAGGACACTTGTGATGAGCATTGGGTGTTGTATGGAACGGCAGAATCACTGTGTGACGCACCTGAAATTAATATGACATTGTATGTTAACTACACTGGACTTAAAATTAAAAATGCATTCATTTAAAAAATCCTAGTGTAAAAAAAAAACCAAAACTGTTAAGTCAATTCTAAAATGTGCATGGAAAGTAAACAGTTTAGAACAGCCAAAATAAAAATAATTTTGTCAAAGAAAAAATAAAAGTTGGAGGTATTATGCTATCAAAATCCAAGCTTTATTATAAATATATAGCAATCATGACCATTTGGTATTGGCAGAATGACAATCAATGGATCAATGGAAGAAGACAGAATCCAGAGACAGACCC